TTTCATGAACGTAGGGTATGAACAGCCTTATGAAGCTAGCGGTAGGTCTGGAAAGTTCGCCTGGACCACTCATCCTGTAGAGTCGAGTTGCTGACCGGTGACTCGAAGCACGTCTTCCTTGTAGTACTGTTTGGTAACAGCTGGATTAAGTTCCAATGTTATCAAATGTGCTATGAGAGGAAATCTCTCAGGTGTTTGTGGTTACTCGCCGAAGCTTATCTATTAGCTAGTGTCATGACGGCATTCATACACATCTATGGTGACATCCTTATTTCCCTTGCCAGTGCAGTTATTGTCTGTCATTAGTGCTAATACTTGATAACTTTGAGAAATCTATCCAAATGGGATGTGAAGCATTGTGGATTCTTCAGTTTGTTGACGGGGAAATATTCGAATTCCATCAAATATAAAGTCATCGCCTCTGTTCTTAATAGTTGACCACTTCCGAGAGCTTATTTCCCGGGCCAGGGTTGAACTGGATGACTGCGGTTTGGGCTGCGCATAGAGGTTAGAACTTTCTCTTNACCGCTAACACAAGGTCTTCTCAGGCTTGGAATGAGCTGATGTGTGTGTCCTCAATAAGGTGTTTCTGGACAGCATTTTTGGGATAATATTGTGAAATTCTGTCATAGTTTACAATTGGAGCAATCAAATGATAACTTGAGGAACAGAAAAGCAGATAGCATTCCTCGAATTGCTCTTATAGCTTGTGTAGACGGAGACAAGACTTGAGTCTTGTCTTATCAATAGCTTGACCTGACTTCAACCTTATTTTGCGAAAATATTTTCGACTCGCTTGATTCTGTTTCGTTTTTAAGATATTCTTTCAGAATGTGTTCATGTTATTTTGTTTTGGATTATCCGATTGGAGGTAGCCTTTGAAGTGCCGTATTTAAATGAATATTCGTTTGATTGTTCTGTTGCTATTGTTGTTGTGCATACATAGACATGAAATATGTTAACATAATTGTGTTAATTGTTGTTTATGTTAATTTGATTGATTGTCCTGTTGTCATGATTATTTCGTGTTGTTGTTGATGTAATGATTATGTCGTGCTTTCGTGGCTTCATCACTTTCTTCATCCTGTCGTTGTTCATTGCCATGTTTTTATGTTGTCGCGCCAGGCATAATGACGGGAAGTATTGCTAGGCATGATTTAGTGGCGTTTCATGGTTGAGACAGAATTTCAAAGTGCATAGAAAACCCTGCCCAAAATACTCGGGTGCAATTCGACGTCAGGTGATAGGGATAGGCTCAAGTTTGAAGCTCTTGCCGCGACATAAGCTCATAACTCTGCTAAGATTTGGGTAAATTTGAAAGTATCAATGGTGCGTGGCGCGACAGCTGTATTAAATATTTTTCCACGTGTTACCACACATTACACCGAAATCGCCTGAAAGGATCAACGAGTTGTCAGCATTTGTCCAGTTTAGGATTGTCATGGCGATAGGTTTGAGTGAATTCAAGTGCAGTATAGGTTCTAGGATTGTTGCAAAGGCTTCTAGGATGCAAAGGCTCCTCGAAATATCGATGCGAGACGACGTTTCGAAAATTAAGCAATGCAAAACACTGTTAGCGATTCAGTAAATGAAATGAATAATCATGAATCGAGGAACGTCTCATGGGTAGATCGCATACATAACTTAAGCATAGTGAGACAATTCTCGAGCAATGAATAAGCTTCTTCAAAGAACATGACCATATGATAGAAAGGCAAGAATTCCCGAATGAGGTGATAGATCCTCACGTAAGGAGACTGAGTTTATGAAAGACATTTAGTCATTTAGTGTAGGATAGGAATGGCAAAGCAAGTAGAGTAATCATGGTATGGCGTGTAATGCATGTTAGCTTAAATTCTACGATGAGATCAGCAGGTGCATCACTGTTTGAGGTTTAGTAATATGAACAGAAAAGGTTGCTGTCTCTAACTTATGTTCAATTTTTTCTTCTGTGGAAAGCATGCAACTCGGAAGAAAACCTTCTGCATTGATACGTGAGTAAGGCTTCGTGTCGAAGTTTTCAACTATTCAGTCAGCGCTTGCGAATGTACACGCATGCTCCTCTTTCCTTCTATCTGAGTGAGGAAATTCGTGAATAACCACGCAGGGACGGTGGTAGCTGTAATGGTAAGTGCTCAAGTACATGGTAAATGTAATGGTAATGCACATGGCAACTGTAATGGTAAGTGTACATGTCATTTCATTCACTTCTCTAGTAGAAGCTTTTGGAAACCCAGGTCACTCCACCCAGCAACAAGTAGAAACACCATAATATCTCGACAACGCTGATTTTGAAGTCGTAATTGATATGTATGGTCAGGGTTTTTGTGAAGTTTCTAGTGAGATAATTTTTTTGCGATAAGATAGGTACCAATCGGTTCAGCTTGACGAGTATACAACGAAAATTGTAAAATTATGGCTGCGTAAGAGACATGAGGTCAGAATAATCCTCCAAAAGAACAGCGGAACAAAATGTTGTAATTGCTTCGTTTTTTGGTTTCCTTCTGAGGAAAAAGCGCTATGATGGTGCGTAGAAATCGAGTAGTAACCAATTTTGCGGTCAGAACACAAGAACGGCAACAGCTATTGTGCAGATTTGTGTTTCATTGCATACAGTACCTCATTCCAGCTCGACTGATGCCGAATTTGTGATACATTGAAAAAATGAATCCATTGGCCGAAAATCCTGAAATGACGGCTTTTGCGGCTTTTAGGGTCTCGAAACGCGGGCTTCTGTTGGTGGATCGGAGCTCTCCGTGTAATATTGTTGCTCAGACGGCCACAGCCATCTCTAAACCGTTCTGAGCGTCTCAAAATGTTTATTCTAAGCTGAGATATGATATGTCGAAAATGCGGATTTTGAGATAGTAAGGGGTTTGTTTGATCAGGATTTTTGTCAAATTTTTAGTGGAGAAGTTTTTTGCTCCAGTTTCGATAATTTTGATATTTTATCCCGTTGAAAGTCTCCATGTAACACAACACAAGTTTTTATCATTCATCTTTATTTATTAAAAATCTTTCACAATATACATATACAACATAACTATTTACAAATGTTACTTTCATAATATGTCGTAATATTCTTTCAAATAATGCATAATAACGTCACTAATTATTTCAAATTAAACACACACAATTTAAATCCACAACAATAAAAAGTACCAATGAGCATTGCATGAAAACATGATAGCATTATGAAAAATTTGTAAACAAAATCAAATATCACAGAGAATATAACAAAAAGTAATGAAACATAATGATACTTCATAATGAATGTAAGTTGAAGCAATTACAATTCGATTCATTTGAAAGAAAGAAATAAAGAAAGATTAATTTGTACTAATTGAAAGATCTGAGATTAACTGAATTGAATTAAAAGAACTAATTGAACTGAAAAGATCTGAGAATGAGATTAATGAATTAATTGAAAGAATAATTGAATCGAAAGATCAAGTCAATTCAATTAACCTTTCAAATTAGCTGAAAGAAAGACCTGAGACGTCCCGAGTCAACCGGAGAGACCGGATGACTGCAAATCCCATCCTGACATCCCGGATATCGTGAGTATTATAACTATGCACATACAAAGATATTGCGGAGATCAAGATGAATGCCAATATTCAATTTCGCGGTTACACTTCGTTGTGCGGAACTTCGAGCGGTTTTTCAAATCAGGTACAAAATTTTGACAGTTTTTTGCTTATAACTTTGCCGAAAATCCACCGAATCGACATCAGAACTGTCAGAAATATCTAGAAAAGGGTTCCAAAATCTAACCTGAAATCAAAATCCAAAAATACTCAGTGCTGATCGAGTTTGAGCGCAAAATCAATAATGGGATTGTATCGTGAAAATATTTTGCCGACCCCTCACTTTTCGTACTTTTCATTATACAAACCGCTGTGTGGGCCGATTATTGGCAATGAGCCGAGACGTACCGCTGCGGTGCGTAAGCGGTTCGTTTGTGATTTATTTGTAATTCTTTATTTAGTTAGTAGTAATTATGATGAATTTATAGGTGGTAATTATAATGAATTTATAAGTTCAACAGATGTTACACATTGCTATAGAAATATAGGTTTGACATATTCAAGTTTACCGTCTTGTCAGGTTTGCCTAATAACGTATCAACGTTTATACATCGTCCGATCAATCCGAATCTCTGCGTTCGGAAAACGAAAACTTCGCTGGGAAATTGTGCCTCTACGTGGAGATGTAGCTATTTTCGTGATGCTATAGGGGTTACCATATTCAAGCCTACCGCATTCTATGGTTTGCCCAGTAATATATGAATTTTTGTGCACCATTCGATCCATCTGAACCCTTAAATTCAGAAAAACATATATTTTGCCGAGTAATTATCATCAGCTGAGGAGATGTAGCTATTTTCTCAATTTCGAGGAAATTTAATGAATAGTTGCATTTTTGGTGCGCTATTATTTGATTGCTCTTTTCGATTGGCTTAATTAATGTAATCATCTTGATTCGGTTGCATCGCAATTTCATGCTCACTGCTTTAAATGTGTATTTATGCCAGGTCTCTTTCAGTTTTTTCGCTTTTTCACGTTTTATAGTGTTATTCAACCCATTTCCCTGTGTATGGGAGTTTATTGAAAATATTCCTCGTTTTGCAATTGTTTATCTCATGTTCATTTGCGATTTGCAGTAATCGCATATCAGCAGTTAACCATTGCTGTGGCAGATCGTCCTGTTGGATTCATTTCTGCTCAGCTCTGAGACGCCACCAAAACATTGAAAATAGTTTCTTCGTCTTTTGGGGGGATTGTGTCGCGTCGGCATTGATATTTTTTCAACAAAATGAAGTGGACGAATTTGGTGAACGAATAATATTGAATAGAATTTTGTGTTTGAGAAGATTTTCGTTCTCGCCTTAGCAATGTTCGTTTTTCAATCTGTGCTGTGCTAAATTTGCATTCTGTGAGTTTGAATTTTTTTCAGAATTTTCGTCTGGTGTTGAATGAGGGGAAGGAGAAGAAGTAATGTTTTGCAATAGCACACAACCCATCGAGGTGATCACACTGAGTGATAGTGACGACGACAATATCACCAGTGATCTCGTGCATCCAGATGCCACTTCATACCATAACCAATCAGTGCCATCTTCCTCGGCACCAACCGCCACTGCTTCCATATCAATTGTTCACGAACGTCCGTTGAGTCCATCGGCATTTTTGCCAAAACCTTCAAATTATCCACAAAAAGCACCGAGTCAACGTTCTTCATCAGTTGTTTCATTCAACAGTCATTTGCTGGCTGCTGCGCACAAACCTACAACGATCACTAATAATACTGACAATTCAGCAAGTCAACACATCATCTCTCTGAAAGTCGGTTTTTCCTTCTGATTATTTGTATGATCAAAATCTGAGATGTGGAAATTAATTTTATTGCAAACTGAATAAGAATTGCACATTGCAAACATAAAATTGCAAACTGAGTAAGTTAAATTTTGTATAAACCGAAATAGTTTGAAATGTAGACATTTTCATCCTAATCCTTGGAGATGAATGAACACTGATCGTGATTTAGAGACGTTTACCGTGCTGGTCATCCGCATCCTCGTTAAAATATGGGCAAGACACGAACCTAGTTGGTCCAAAACGAGCCGCGTCAGCATCACTGCGAAATGAGCCTCGATCATTTTCGCCGTCAACACTGCAGAACTCTTCTCTGAATGCTCTCAAAATCTTACAACAGTCATTTTCAAGCGCAAACGCACAGCTTCTATCATCAAACCCGAAGTACACTTGTTTGATCCGTGGTAATGTTGATAATTCGAATCCAACCAACGGTTCATCCTATCAGATTTTGCCAGCTGCTCAGCCGATATCGTGTAATGTCACCAACACACCCCCACCAACCCACTCGATTCATCATCCATATCAACCGAATCATCCGTTAAGCATGCTATCGAAGAACAACACTCCATATTCAAACACGCCACCACTAAAGAACAAAGCAATACCCTCTTTAACAACGAAATCTTATAACAATAATAATCACTCGTTGTCTTCATCAACGTTTTCGATATCATCCAAGCCAGCATGGGCATCGGCAAGCTCAACAATGATTCTCGCATCATATTGCTATGAAAGTTTCGATCCGAAAGCTCCACCGTTTGAGCCACAAACTTTCAGTGCTAAATTCAAGGTTTCACCCTATCGTTTTTGCTTTCTTTTTTTTTTCATTTCTGATTTTTTCGGTGTTTCTTTTGCCTCGATTCTAGGCTAGGCTTCAACTTAATCACACAGGTCGTTCGAAATCGAAATTGAGAGCTCAAATTCCTCACAAACAATGCCAAAAGATTCGGTATTTTAACGGTGTCAGTTGAGTTGATAGTAGTATATCGATCTGTGCTAGATTACATCTCATCAGTTATGTTTGATCAAGTGCAGTTACCCAGTTTTGCAGTGCTCATATGGATCGTGCCGTAAAGTGCTGTCGAATAACGTAAGTTTAATGGTTCATGTATGGTCACATCTGATTTACGATAGCGATAACGGTGATAACGATAAGAGTGATAGCGAACACGACAGTGACGACGATTGCGTGACCAAGCGCGGCCAGTCGTTGACGTTCACGTGTCCGGAGTGTTTGGAATCTTTTGGAACATCTCATCTTATGCAAATACATTATGACCAAGTGCATTCCGAGGAACCTGCGGACGATACGTGTTTCGTTTGTGAGAGCGTCGTTGAACCGGTGCGTTCATTGCTTGATTCACTTGATAATTTATCATTTCACTCGTTCTTTATTCGTTCGTTCGTTTGTCGGTGTTCATCAAATAAACTTTACAGGTGATAGGTTTACTTTATTCGATTTTTGAAGTTGCTTTGGCCAGTCGGGTACTGGAAACGTTAAATTTGAACTTGTTTTGAGGGATTTGAATTATGCCAAGATGGAAAATTATGTCGATGTGTTGATGTACACTGAAAGTTTTTTTCAAATGTTGGGTTCAGAACTCGGTTCGTGTCCGTCCGAGTTTTCACAGTTGTCTCTATGTTCCTTTGAGAGTCGGTCGATTTTGTGGTGTAATTGTATTGGAGATGCAGGTGATACACGCCGAAATGCACGGTGATGACGATGCACCGTATCACTGTCGTAAATGCAGATTTCGTACGTCGATCCGACACAACCTCATCCAGCATTTCATACGCTTTCACTCGAACACTCGTTCGCTGTTGTGCCCATTTTGTTTGGCCTCCTTCCACGTACCGTCCTCATCCTCCCACTCAACCGTCGTCACCAACAAATCTTTCGTTGATCATATGCGTTCGCATGCAGTAGGTTGGTCATTATTCTTCACCATTTATGCCTTCACCATCAACAATTTTGCATTTGAGCTGTTAGCAAATTTCAGCCAAAAGCAAAAAATGCCCAAATTGTGCGTTGAGGTTCTTTCGAGATGCGGATCGCAGAGCGCACAAGAAGGATCACACCAAAAAGAATCCAAAATGGATTTCCAAGCAGTGCACCAAACATCGTCTTCAAACGAAGGTACATTCGGCTTGTATCACTTCGGCCCACTATCTCCGCTGTTCGATGCGTGTCCGCATCGAAAACCCAGCCAACTTTCTTATTAGGGTTTTACTCTGTTCGATTTTGACACTTTCGATATTTCGATACTCTTAGAGCTCAGCGTTTTAGTGTGCTCGATTTTGTTCATAATGAATCAGTTGTTGTGTTGAGAGGAGATAGTTGAAGGGTAGGAAAGTGTGGTCGTCGGCAGTGAAGAGATGTTGTTTGGAATGTGACGAAGTGGTGAATGACATCGTGGAGCATACAAGACAAATGCGCACTTGTGCGAGATGTGACTACGCGACCGCTTGTGACACTGAGTATATGCATCACAAGAACATTAAATGCAATATTGTGCGATCCGGATTCACAAGGTACCTCAGCAGTATTATTACTCTCTAAAAGTTGCCAAGGAAAATGTCTGTCTCCATGCTGATTGTTTAGCAAAATGTTGAAGGGAAGCGACTTTCAGAGCACGTCTATTGAGGCACTGTGTAACTTGTCCAAAATGTGGTCGTAAATCGGCAAATGCAATTGAAATATTCGAGCATTTATCGAAGTGTAGTGATGGACACGCGCTCGTTCATGAAGCAGAATTTAAAGAGGCAAATGAATTCGATGCTCAGCAAGAACGTGACGAAGTTAGTCGATGCCTAATACCCGAAAATTTTTTGCCTTTTTCGTACTCCTCTTCCTCCTTTTTCTTTTGTTTATTTTTGATAAAGCGGACAATATTTGACTCGTTCGGTGATCAGTGAATAATTGATAGAAATTGTGAAATTGAGCGAAAAGTTTATCTCTGATCACTTCGAGTATTTTTTTGGCTGATCGCATGGTATTCCGGTAGCATTATTTTGTTAGATCCGTGTCAGTTGGTTGGATTGTGAAGCAATCATTCAATCCTTTGAGATTGTTAGGTTTTAAAGATATTCAGTTATATTCGACATTTTATTTGTTTGTTCTAAGTTCACTGCGACTGTTATTTGTATTCACTGTATAGAGGTCACTGAACTCGTAGCAAAGAATGATCACTAAAATGATTTTATGTAAAATTGTCGTGGTGGTATTGAATATGGAAAAAATGGTATTTTTTTCAGGTGGAACATTTCTCACTGCAGCAACCGAGATGTTCACGTGGACTGGCTGTCGCAAATCAATCGTTGAATGTCAAAAAGTTGGGTTATTATAGGGATCCATGGGAGATCAATGACATTTCGGATCAGCTTGAGGCTGAGACCAGTGACGAACATGATGGTAATAAGGGTAATGGAGATCGTCGATTTGGTGTTGCCAAAAAACACTTTGTGTTAGTGTTATGTGCTATTTGTAGACTCGAACGGGTGTTATTCATTCAGACGATGCTAGTAGTGATTGAGGAGAGTCTTCTTAGGTATGAGGAAACGAGACGTGAGAATTGACAAGGCTTTGTTCACTGATGTAATGATTCTGCTGAAATAAATTATGAGAAGAAGATTGAGCGGAATCTACATCCGGATTAATTGAGATGTGATGCGTTGAGTGATGTTAAATAGCAAAGTCGAGTTAAAATAGCCGAGTTCTGATGAATAACAATGTGAAATTTATTTCAGGTCTATTGAAATGGAAGCGTTACTGGAACAACTTAATGATGTTTTGCAGTGTATGGATACTTGATTAAGTGGTTGAATAATAAGTTTGTTTGGTGGTGGTTTTGCGATTGATCTCAACTGAACTCATTTTTGAAATCAGTATACCCAGATATTTGATAGGGTTGGAGCTTTATGTTTATGAGCACTCGAAATTTGACTGGGAAATTTATGTGATCATTCCGAAATAATCAGCTCAGGTTTCTAATAATAATAAAGTGAAAGTGCTCATCTTTTTCACTTCCATTCCCGACGTATGTGAATTCAGTCTCTTAAATGTTTCACGTTTTTATTTCGATTCATCGTATTTGCTATTGTCGAGTTGTTTTGTACTTTTTTGAATGCTTTATGTGTAACTTTCCCAATTTTTATTTTGTAGAAGTGCCGTTATTGAAGTGCGTCTTCGTTACTTTCATCGTTCATCTGTAGATTGGTTTTAGAGGAATACATATTGAATGTGCGTTGGGTTTGAAATATTTCACGAGGGTTCTTTTAGCTGCAGTTATTGAGTATCTTTGCGATGGTGTTTTGCGCTTCTAAAGATTTCAGTTGTTTGCTGTGTTCTGTCCCGTTTTGGTCAACATAAGCTTTAGAAAGTTTGCGCAGCAGCACGCTTCCGACAACACTCGCGCTGAGACGTATCCCACATGTGGTTATCTTTAGCCTAGTGTGGTGCGGGAACGGAAAAAGTCGGAGACTGGAAAAATCGGGAACGAGATTTTTTGCAGTCGGGGACCCCAAAAATGCGGTCGGCTGAAAAATTTTCGAAGACGGAGAAAATCGTCGGGGACGACGTTCTCTAGTCGGGAACCGCGAAAATATCGTCAGCTCAAAAAAAGTCTAGGACGGGGTCCTCGAAATTCTCCGATGCCCGCACCATGCTAGCTTATCCTACAATACTTAACGGAGTGTTTCGACGATCTTGTTCTGAGCGTTTCGTTTTGTAAACGCATTGAGTAGGGTTTATGAACTGATGAGTACGCGCGTATATCTCAATGTATCAGTCTATCATTCCAACTGAACGTTTCTGTTTTCTTGCACTGAATCACGTGTTGGATAGCATAGAATTGAGTTGAGCACGTATTGGTGTGCTACCCCTGAATAGAAATACTGATGAAGCTCTTATTGTTGAAGTCGGCTCGTTTTTCGTGGCTGGATACCACTCCTGGTTTATTATTTTTTACTTTTTCACTTCTGGTATTCGTTATTTTATTGGTCATATATTGTGTAACTTTTGATTCTTGCTGAATAAATTATTTTCACCATACGTTAGTTAAATAGGTTCATAATTGGGTATGAGAAAGGGCTAGGAAATTTCGCAATGAAAAAAGGAAGTTTCCTTTATATATGGAGGGAAAGGATAATTTGAGACAAGCAATTTGCTTAATTACATGTAAAAAATAATCTGGAAAGAGTCTGGTTAGATGGCGCATAATCGGTGATTAAAGCACTTCACGATCGTCTGTCTGTATCTGATGTGAGTAGATTGAACGCGGCGGCGAGTTGAGATTGGTGACTATTTAGAGAGCGTATGTGTTGATTGTCAGTTTGGAAAGGTTCATGAATGATAAGCGCAGAAGACCACTTCATTCGGCTTTTCAGCGTATTAAGTTGTTATCACTGTTGTGAACGCCCAACTTGCTGCTATCAATTTTATCAACAGACATTTTGTTACAAGGTAGAACACAAGCATTTTTTATCGCTCATTGTTTCGTCATCATTACTCGCAAATTTGACCGTGCCACAACGAGTGCTTCATCAATCATTCTTCAACTCTTCAACATTCTCTTCTCGGCTTCATCAATCCAATCAGATTTATGCGATCTCGTTTATAAATTGAGCGATCGATCTGACAATGAGTTCAGTGCGTTCTTGATGGTGTTTTTCAGAAATGTAATTGCTATGCATAAGTCTCATTTCTCATCTGATAAACTTCGATCAGTTGTCGTCACTAATCTGGACTCGGTCTCACCTTTTCTAGGTTGATTACAGAATAAAGTAAACGAATGACAAGGACAGCTCGGAATGTGTGTTTGCGAAGTCAGGTCAAATCCGAATCGCCTGCTTCTTCGAGCGTACCACAAACATCCTCTGACGGAGATGTTGTGTCCGAAGTGGCATCTCCGATACCTCTCCAACCCACCAGAAGCCCACTGCAACGATTTCCTTCAGCAACGATCAGCAACGAATCCTTCATACATATCGATCCATGGCCAAAATCATGTCCCCCTAATGAACCTGACCATGATAGAGGTTCATTGTTCAGCAGGTTTAGTGCATCATTCCTCAAGCCGAACTGTTGAGAAGTTTTTAAACGAGTAATGAGAATGAGAATTGTGCTATACTGATTGTCCGTATGAAAATGGTCAAACTGAGCTATTCAAAGAATGGGTGAAGTGAAAAGATGATGTTTTGAAGAGTTGTTGAATAATAATGACTGACGATGATACTCTGTCATTCTTAAACGATCGTCATTTGTCGGGTAGGTCATTTCTCTGGCATGACATGATGCTTGTCTTATTTGCATGATTTTCAACCGATCATTGCAGAATTCACAAAGTATCAGCTGAGCATAATGAGTGACGTTGTATGTTTCAGGTTGCAGTGCTGGATACGCGAACACCTCATGAAAACGACAATAATTGGCTGTGTGCTATTCTTAGTATTGTTGCTTGTTGCCCTCGCAATCATTCTACCTCTCACACTTTCTTCGCGTGCAAGCAATGGCAGCATAACGCCTATACAATCAAACCTTTCCACTACAAATCACTCGACAACTCCCTCAACAACCACTGAACCGTTCAGTCCAGGCTATTGCATCGACATCAGCACGCAAATGTTCGAAATCGATAATATCACCGCACTGCAATCTCTGCGACCGGATCCCAGACAATTCGGTGACTACATTCTGACAGCTTCGGATCATGTGATACTTTTGAGTGGCTGTCAACCGCAAATGATATCGTTGGCAGAATGGAGCAGTGGTGAGGGTAGTGTGCAGCGTTGTGCGGGTAATAGTGTCACTGTTATTGAGCACAGGACTGCTGCAGATGAACAGTGCTCGAGATGCGATGTGCTCGATGTTGCTGACAGCTGCCGTCAGAATGTCGACGTCTGTTCGCAATCGAGTTTTGCTTTTTGCTGTCGTGATTGTGGCCCGAACTCACTGTCAAGTGCTACGTATTGCTCGCTGCGGGGCTCACCTCTGATCGAGAATGAATCGGTGTTTTTGGATGCTCGCTTCACTCTCAACAACTCTACCTCATATTCACTTCTCTTCTCAACACTCTCATACAACCATCAAACTTTATGTATCCTTCAGCAGCATGTCATGCGTTATGAAGGCGTGCAAGTCGCCGTTGTTCTCCTACCTACAGAATCGTGTGATGACTCTGTTCGTGACTTCGCAGGTTATATCGACGACTTTCAGAGTGTTTCTATAACGATGCTCAGTAATGAATGGTGGAAGGCATTGTTGTTGGATTCGGGTACTGTTTATTTGTCGAATTCAAACGGTAGCATGCATGTGCTAAGAGATCTGGTCAACGGTACAAGTTCTAAACTGTTAATGCAGCCGGATCGGTGGAATAACGTATTGTTAGTGGATTTTTGCATGGAAACTGGACGATTCTCAGCAAGTCGAGTCAATTTGAATCGCACTGACGCGCATTATGGAGAATTGGATATTTTGGTACCGAGACAGATAGCGATCAGTGTTCCTGGCAAATTTATGGATGCTTTCCTGGATGATGGGCAATTGGTTTTGTGGAATACGGTGGAAAATGCGGTGTTTGTTACTAGAGTGAGATTCAAGTGGACTTAAAGTCAACTCTTGCATGCTTTGTAACCGACCGAGTACTCGAACCTTATGTATCCCGTCGGTATGCGCGATTCGGGTCGGATTCTCTTGAAACAAAATGGAGAAGATCATCAGTTCAGTTCATTGGACAACATTTTGGCCCCACCAAACTGATGGCATACCAATGTTGTCAAACAATGAATCTGGAATCTGATAAATTTGTGACTGAATCGCTGTTTGTGTGTTACTCTGCTGATCAATAATAAGCGGTTTTGTGCTGAAGGGTGTGTTCATTCAGCGGGATTTTGCAATAATATTGAAATTTATTTACAATTACATACACATTAATGCACAAATATTAATTACAAATAAACATCCGACAACTACTTAACCAATTTCTACTTCTTTGCTAATTATGAGTGGATAATGTAAAAATGAAATGCTGAACGATACATTTTGGGTGATACACCAACGCAGAATTCTTTAAGAATATGAGCACATTTACCAATTCCAATTTATGAGTGAATATCAAACGGTTGTTTTCTAATCATCAATTTTTCGTCGTTTCCCAATGCGAAGCTGGTTATAAGCAGTAGCACCAAATGAATGAACTGCATTCTGTAGCAGTACCATAACTGCATTCTCTTCGTAAGCTCTTCCTGTTTACCCCTTACTTATATTATGCTTAATGAAAGGAGTATAACTCTAACTGAACACGAGCAACTCATTTAATCTGGTTTGAAATAGCAATCGATCACGTCAGCACAACCATATGGTGTGGATCAACGTTCTTCTTTAAACTCTGCTTCATTTGATCAATATCATTCGGATAATGATCCATTCGATCAGACTTGACCGCATCTTCGTTGCTAACTTTCTCGGGATGAGCAGCAACAGCAGGTGAGAATCTCGCATAATGTTGTCGGATGAGTGGGAAAGCGGAAAGCAAATCCTCTCGGTCATTTTCGAAGAATGTTTTGAAAACTGATATGGCCATGATATCAGCCCATGTCATCTAGAAAATAATTTTCGTTTAATTTGCATCGGAATTCCCAACTCAATCCTGAAACCTGAAGTGTTGAGAACTATATGAACCCTTACGAATATCTTTATTGACGCAGTATTGCATTATACCTTAAATTCACTGACTAAAAATTATGTCCACATCAATGAGATAGAAATACCGTTTTCCTTGTTCCTAGGAAATCTCTTAAACTAATTCATGAGGAAGCGGTTTTAGTCATTCGTAATCAGTCGTGTAATCCCAGTCTCTCAACGTGCTTAAGCGTTTCCCGAATGAAGTGGCTGCTTACCTTATCCCCAACCAAAAACCCCTTCGCATTCATGCAAAGATACTTCTCGAGAATTGGTCCTAAACGAGTGCTCACGTAATGTCTTGCATTCTCGTCCAGTGAAATAAGCTGAAACTCGTTTCATTGTGGAACATTCGATTTGATCAAAACCAGTCAAAAGCATCAAGCCAATTTCATCCGAACATAACACTGAATTTAAGACAATCAATTCTTCTGCCACATTTCAAGTCCTTTTCTTGAGCAATGGCTAGGACAGATTGGGAGATTCGTCGCACTGTGTGACTGTCAATTGTACGTTTCAGATGAAATTCGTAGTGGTGAATCATCTTTAGATGTGAGCTGATGCTGATAAGAAAGTGATAAAAGAAAAGCATTGATGTGAGCTAGTGAAGTGCTCATCAAATGAATGAACAAAGTGCTCACATCTGAACCATCGTTATTCTTAATAGCATTTCGCCAACATTCTAACACTTGACTACCTTCATGCAGTAAATCTGACAGCATATCCACTACTGCATCATCTGCTGCAGTTTGTCCGGAGAGACCTGAAGAACAACAAGGAACAGTTGTGAGGAGTGGTTTGGTTGTGCTCTTTCGAGATGGAAGCAATTCAGCTCACCGAATCTCCACGCTAAGTGTCTGCAAATAGTTGTTGTTCCAGCGATTTTCAAACCATCGATTTCCAAAACAGGCAATGACCATAACGGCATATCTGAAAGCTTCTTCCATACAGAGAGTATCATTCATTGTGAATATGCTTTTTAATGTCCAACATATAACAGAGCAGTTAAAAAGCGTTGCTTCGAAAGATAACAAAGACCAAAACTGAACACTTCACATAGAGTATTGATGCAACTTTCGATACCGCACGCTTCCAAATAACGATAGATTTAATCGAAGGTGAATGTTTTTGATCATTCATTTGATGGATGGATGGATGGATGGATCTATTCGATGGCTCTAATTAAGTCTTCTTTCTTAAAGCCAACCTTGTTTCAATCGCTGCCAGTCATCGCTGCATTCATCAATCAACACTTCATCATACTTAACGGCAGCTATTCGCAGTACCATTCGTATAATATCAGCCGCATATGTACGCGTTATAGAATCGTAAAGTTTGAAGTCTGCTTGAAACACATCCAACTGCATCTGCACGCAGCAATTTCTGCTGAAATTATTTTCTTGCTGACAATGAAAACATTTCGCATTAGCAACTAAACTATTTGACGTCAATCGCTCGTATTGACGATGAAAAACATTTTTATTGTTTATAGTTGAGGAAAAAAAAACGAGAAATTTCTATGGCTAGAGTTGGGATTGTTCGCTATTATGAAGAACAACGTTCGCTTGTTAGTTTTCTTGAGTCATCCAGTGATATCATGACGGCTTCTTACTTTAAATACGACCAGTGCTACTCCCCCATACCATGCGATACTCTCAGTTTTACGCTACTTCAATGGTTATCTTTATCTCCTTCCTCAGCGATCGTCCAAAACTGAATCGCTTGAGAAAGTGAGGCGTGAAACCTAAAGCAGAAGTTCGCTTTTGATTTCAACAAGAAAGCTGGCGGATAGTTTGGCATTTCTGACTGCTAAAATCTAATAGCAACTGTTTAGAAAGTGCAAGATTTTTTTTTTGGAAAATCGCTTAAATAATACACAAATTTGTCTCATTCATCTCGCCTTTTTCAGTTCTGATTTCTAGCTCTGATTCAAAATGACATCTGGCTGATCGGATGAGTGAGTGCTCAAGAAAATTCATTGCCTCTGTACTAACACTGAGTGAATCTAATCCTGAATGACATCAGCTTTCAACAAAATACGGCAGAATAAGAACGAATAAAAACTACACATGGTTTTGGTAAACGAGGACGTTGCCAAGAGATACTATCAATAAAAATGTGCACATGCCACCACGTTCGTATGAAAACTGCTGGCAGCATGCACATGGAACATTTCAATGTGAGCATGTGATGTCCTTAATGTACACACACGCACACTAATCTGATTCGTCGTTGTTAATCTGTTAGTCCGTACACACACTAACAGAATCGATTTTGGATAGCAAAACTCGCAGTCTAGGATGCATCATGCATAGAATCAATCCTGAGATGTGGCACCATTATATCATGTGCACTGACTGACATGATAATAAATTTCTCTCTGATTGAAAGAGAATAAATCTCGAAAAAGTAAAAGCACACCCAACACAACAGCTGCTTAAAGCAAGACCACGATCCAGGTTGCTAATCGATTGATTGAACGCTTTTTGAAAATGGCATTGAGAATGCAAGTGTTCTAAATGATTCACATCATCCAATAACATTTGTGTTGTATATTCCCGTTTTAGGAATGTCAGCAATCCTTTGCAATGAATATTATGAGTGCAGCAACGTAGCCATTATAGAACCGTTAAAATTGAAATGATACAATTGAATTGTTTTTTGAATTCACCATAATGTACTTTTGATTTTGCAATTTCAATTCATGCCTCAACAATAAAAGATTCCGAAAACTTGTTTTTATTGCTGCTCTGCATGAACTGCTTTCGTTTCGATTTAACTAAACAAACAAGAAATGGAATCGCAATCGATCAACATGATGAATCGCAAACGAGAAATTCAAATTGAAAATATTTTGATAAACTGAGAATGAGACTGACAGTTGTGTTGACTTCTTTAAAAGCAAACATTACTACTGTTAAAGATTTTACACACACACACACACACACACAATTTTTTGACTACCAAAACAAACACGAGCACATTCAAGAAGAGCATTCTGCTCGATCAATTCATTATAGTTCCTCAATTGTAAGTTTTTTACATGTACAAATCGAGAAATCGAATCGAGTGGCATAGCCCTGAAATAAAATATTAGCTGCTCAAACTGGCAAATAGATCCGATGACAGTGAAATCACAACTCCTTTCACTTATTCGAAGAGAGCTGCGATTTTAACAGCCCCAACCTTCAGCCTTATAAAAATTCGCTTTGCAAATGAATAATATGAAATCGTCAGTGGTTTTGGGTTGACGAAAAATGTGAATGAAGCCAAATCTTCATGATAGTGAATGAAATAACGAGAAGTGATGAAACGAGCAGTCTGTTCGTATATTGCCTAGCTCAAGACTGGCATGCTGAATAAAAGGATGTAACCGTTGTGTAGTGTTAAGCAACAAGAACAGCTGTTTATGTTCACGAAAAATTTCAAGTGATGTGAGAGTGCAGTGTGTAAAAACGAATGAAAAATCAGGCTTCGTCACAGCGTCAACATTACCTGATACGTAAACAATACCTCATACGATCAACGATCAAACATCTCGCGCTTTCTAGTCTAATTCGACGACCGACTATAAATGCTTATTATTTATTATTACTGCGAGATTTATCGTTTACCAAAAAAAAAACTTGTTTGAGGTGACCGAAATGAGCCATTTTTGTAATAATTCAATTCCATGTCTTTTCCACGCTTTGATATTGTCTTGAGCTGATTTCAGAGGCCAGTTTCAGAAAATCGAACTCATCATTTTATCATTTCAAAACCTAGAAATGATAGAAACGAATTCAAAAATCTCATACGTAAACCTAACAATGTTAAAAATTCCGATCACTCCCGACATTGTTATACCATAAGCATTCCTGGATAAAATTTCTCAGCTGCAATCGTTTAAAATTTTTTCGATATTGGTATATTGTCAATTGTCAATTGTCAATTGTCAAATTGTTACTTGTTTGTATTTGATTATTTCATTTAGCCACGGCGATTTTGTTGAATGAAAGAAGAAAAATTGTTCGGCAGAGTTACAACTCCTCTCGAATGCATGATTGAGCACTATCATGAGCATCTAGGCGTATCATGGATTGTTCAAAAACACACCAACTTTCACTTCTAAGGTGATGAGCTAACTACGTTTTGCTATGCATACCAAACGTTGTTATTTCGAATCTGTTCAGAGCATTATGAAGGTACAGCTAGTAGGTCGATCATTTTTCCGATCACTCCCGACAATCACCTTTTACAAAATGATACCATTCAGATTCTCTAGTCCAAAAATATGATATCCTAAGAGTACAGATTCGGATGATATGGCAAACTGGAACACTCGAACAAACTCTTTTGATCGGTAAACATTTCAGTGATTATGGTTGTGATGTAACTGCAGAATTACTCTATTGAATGCTGTTTAAAGCTGCATGGCACGGTGCAACCTGCTGAAATGAACTAACTTGTAAGTGCTAAATACTGAGGTCTTACATTTGAAAATTGTAATTTGTTATTTGGATTTTTTAATTGTAAACGTGCAATCCAGTTCTGAAACTTGTGAATTCGGAACTTCTTGAAACTTTTGGACCATTTGAGAAATGAGCGTTCTTTTGAATTCATATCATCATGAAAATTCGGATTTTCCCAAGAGCATCGAAAGTTTGCAGTTTCAGAAATCCGAATCAGTGATTGATAAATGCTAAGGCATTACATCCAAAAGTTGTTCGATGTTTTCAGATGGTGAAGTGGCGAATTTTGCGGGATATATTAATTAATGCACTGATGCGTTCTTCTATATCGCGTTGATTTTCTCTCTTGGTCGCTCTTCGTCGATTCGTTTTGAAGTTTGGATGGAAGAATTTCTTGTTGAGGCAAGAGTTTCTTATAATTCAAAGATAACCTCAAAATCCACGTCGTGATTTTAACTCACCTCTTTTTCCCATGACACTTTTTACTGCCGAACAACTGCAACCGCTCTGATTTGCTCGCTCGTCCCAAGAGACACGCTTTGAATGAATTGGCGGCATTTGACATTATTCAAAACATGTGCCTTATTCATTGCGTTTGCTTGTCCATTCCCATGTGATTACTTTATGTTGAGATTTGCCATGTACTGGTCTAGTTAATACAAGTTAATGGGAATCTTATTTTTAGTATAGCTTCTTAGGATTGTTATTTTAAATGTTCTCTTTTCGGAGGAAAGTTATGCCAGAACTGGATGAGCAGAAGAGGATCAGTTTTTTTGGTTTACCTTTCCTAAGCCGATAGGTTAAGAATTGGCTCAAACTATTGAGTGAAATATGCTTTTGAACGCTCATCTTGATCACTTGCACTTATTTGTCATGAGTGAAAAAAATTCTTTCATCGGTGTGACTGTTATTCTCAAAATCTTTAAGCAGATTCAGATTATGACTCATAATGAGCCTCGTAAAATTTGGCGAATCATTTATTGATGAGCTGTCGATCATTCAGCTCTGACTACCAGCAGAAATTAACATTATTAACGGATTGGAACCTATGATCCTGTATTATTCACTTAAAGGGAAAGATATAATATTTTTATGGGAGATATGATGACTAGTGTGTTTTTTATTTGTGGCAGCTTAAATTAAATGAATTCAACTTTGCTGATACAAATCTAACGTATATGTCGGCTCTAGACTGTAGAGTTGGACAAAAGTTTTGTTTGAACCTATGAGCACCTCAAAGAAAGATTCGTATCTTCTTTCTGCCTCTGGTTGTGGGTGTGATTTCGGATTCCACATGAATTTATTGTTGCGATTTGATTATTGTCGCTGCGATATATTCATAATGAAAACGATGGCACCTTTCAATGATCGATATTCAGACGATACGTGCAATCGCTGAGTTTTTTGGAATGGGAGATCGGAAAGCATTATTGAAAGAGATACCTGATGTGGTACGTAATCCACAAAGTGGGAAACAGTTCGCGAAAGGTCGATTCCTTGGCAAGGGTGGTTTTGCACGATGTTATGAACTGATGGACACCGAAACAAGAATTGTTTATGCGGGAAAAATCGTCTCAAAAACTCTTCTGACGAAGAAACATCAACGTGAAAAGGTATTTGAAAACATCTGGATGTGTAAATTATTTATTCATCGAGACAATAATTCATAGCACGTGAAACATTCATTCACACTGATTACTTCGACTGCTCAACAAAAAAAAAACTTCCCGAAGCAGCTGCAGTGTACATTTATTGCTTGATTTAATTTTGTTACATAAAGTCAAGTCTTGAATCTATGTCAGTCTCCTTGATATTGAAGATGTCACAAGAAATTCAAATTCACCGGATGCTCTCACATCCACATGTCGTCAGACTCGATGGTTATTTCGAGGATCCGGACAACGTCTACGTTTTACTCGAACTATGCTCACGAAGAGTTCGTTCTCCTCAAAATCTCTTCATTTTCATTTAATCAACCATATTTGAATGTGTTTCCTCTCAGAATTGAAGCAAAATAGGTTGATTGTTCACTGCAAATATTGCAAGATCTCAAATTCATATCATTAGGCTTGGTTTCGCAGATGCATGAAACTTTGCCGCAGCACTGGATTATAGAGCGATATATGCAAGATCCTGGATTGGCACATTAAGCTCATCTATATCCACCATGGAATGAGAGTTGTATGAAATCGCATGATATGTTGCGAATGATGCCTGAGGATATAGGAGCTGAATACAGAGCTTGATGAAATAATAATGATTCCAATAACAGAATTCTGAATCCTTAAGTGCCTTCTGGAATCAGTCATTTCATTTATAGTTCATCATACTTAAACGTGAATTGTTGATTCACCCATCTTCAGTCTCACATTTGTCGGTTCTGAATTCAAAATTTCAGTCTCTAATGGAGCTGCACAAGCGTCGAAGAGCAGTCACAGAGCCGGAAGCACGTTACTTCACAAATCATGTGGGTCATCGCAGTTTACTTCTCATGAATGACTTAAACCTAATGTGTTGATTTTCATCAGTGGTGAACTGTCTTTCAAGAGTATAATGACATGAAACAGATCGTTGGAATGTTGCAGTAAGAGATTAAATGAAGGGTGCAGTAAAGCGTAATTTCATATTGAATTCATTTAACAAACATTACTGTCCAAGAAGATGATAGTTCTGTCATTCTAGGTCGTTATGGCATGTATCTATTTACATGATAAGAAGATAATTCACCGTGATCTTAAACTGGGTAATTTGTTTTTGAATGATGATATGGAGGTGAAAATTGGTGACTTTGGATTGGCGACAATGGTTGAATTCGACGGAGAAAGGTGATTTTATTCATCGGAAGTTGCTAATTTCCCGTTTTCTTTCAAAGATGGTGTGAGTTTTAAAGACTTCCTAAAAAATCTCCATGCCATGTTCTTAATAAGATAAAGTTGAATTTCAGGAAGAAAACTTTATGTGGTACACCAAACTATATAGCACCTGAGATGTTGGGCAAAAAAGGACATTCATATGAGGTGGATATTTGGGCGATAGGTTGTATTTTGTATACACTTTTGGTTGGAAAACCACCCTTCGAAACACTTTCGCTTAAGGTTGGTTATTCAAATATTTCTCAATGAGATTTTCTAGATATTGCCCAGGAGTTATAGCGTTGCCCTTTTGGGAGATTGTTTGGTTTTAGACTCCAGACATTGTTATCATAGCATTTCGTTGAAAGGCTTTGATTTCGATCATATAAGCTGAAACTGTTTTATGACGGAACAAATGTCTCATTTATATTTGTTCCTTTTCATTGTGCACATTGCTATTTATATGAATGATAAGAACTGTGAACTAGTATTGTTCAGTCGTTGAAACAATTTCTAAATTTGTTAAATGGCTTCCTGTTTCAGGAAACATATCAAAAAATTAAAGAGAACAGTTACGTCATTCCATGTCGAATCAGTGCAGATGCAAAGCATCTGATTGAACGTCTTCTCGCACCCGATCCATCAGCTCGTCCGAATATTCATGAGGTGAATATCAATATCTATCATTGGTCTCAAACACACCAGATGCTTTGTCCCTGGTTATTAAACCAAGTCGATGGATGATAACGAAAAATAGTATATGCTGGATTCTTCATCAGTGTTATGAATGGCAGTTGTCTTCCTTCCGCTGAGATGAAGCTTTACTTACTCCGAATTTTGGTCACAGATTCAGAATTGACCAAGTAACGAAACGGGATGAAGTTGATTGAGTGCATTTAAGGTTGCTGCGTTTGATTTCTTCACGAAAGGCTATCTGCCAGCACGTTTACCGACGTCTTGTCTCACGATGGCACCCAAATTTACGTCGAATCAGCTGGTGTCACAGGATCGTCGTGTTGTCGATAGCAGTGATAAAATACGTAAGCCAATCAGTCCACGACAACAAGCTCGACAGGTGGTTGATTGTTTCTTGATTTATGGTCTGGTTGCTTAGCCTTTCAGGCAGTCATTTCCACTGTTTTGTTCATGCACTTATTTCTGTGCTGTTTGTAGGACATGTTAGCAGCTCCACTGCGAACGCTAAACACGGTGCCCGAGTCTCAGATTGTGCCACCAAGGCGTGCTACGGGTGATGAACGCAATGAAGCGGCTTGTGGTGACGTACCATCTGATTGTTATCTGTCTGAATTATACACTCAGATCAATGAAATTGTCAAGAGACGACCGTCGGACAGAGCCGTTCTTCAAGAAGGTTGGTCATCAGCAGTCAATGAGCTCATCGAAAATCTCATGATTAGGTTGATCGCCACTTGCTTAACAAACAAGTTCTTATCGTTACAGACGAAGCCGAGGATCCAGCAGCGATTCCGGTATTTTGGGTGTCGAAGTGGGTTGATTATTCGGATAAGTATGGACTTGGCTATCAACTCTGCGATAATTCAGTGGGAGTTGTTTTCAATGATAATACTAAGTTGGTGCTTGATGCGGCTGGAAAGTGAGTCGAGTTTTGGATTATTAGTTGAATGCGCAGTTAATTATTGGTGATGATGAACGATAACCCATAATGACTATTCATGTTTTGTTATTGTTCAGGCAAGTTCAGTATATGGAACGTGATAACACAGAGCAGTACTATACGATTAATGTGTATGCGAAAGAATTGACAAAGAAGATGACTCTGTTGGAATATTTTCGGAATTATATGAACGATCACTTGCAAAAGACTGGTGCGAATATGGTGGTACGTGAAGGGGATGAGTTGGCTCGTTTACCGTGTCTTCGCAGTTGGTTCAGAACTCGATCTGCGATTGTACTGCACATGAGCAATGGTACACTGCAGATCAACTTCTTCCAGGTAGTTCCTTTCTTCTTCATTTCTTTTGTTCTGCACTCGTATTTGTTGATCCACTGAATGTTATTTTATATCATCGCAAACGAATCAACTATCGTTTTGAGATGTCCATATTACATGACACTTCATGTGAACATAGCTGCATCGGAATGATTGAAATTAAGTGTGTATCGTATATTTGAGTATTTTACATTGACCTCATCATAACAATTGTGCAGATTTGGTGTTTTGAATTTTTTTTTTGAACATTTTCCTGATATTTTACCAATTGACTGCTGTAACGATCGGTTTGCAGTGAGTTTGTTCATGATTGTTCTCCGTTTCAGGATCATACAAAATTGATTGTTTGTCCGTTAATTGGTGCAGCCACATATATTGATCCAGATCGGAACTTTCATGTTTACAAATTCGATCTGATCGAAAAATACGGATGTCCAAGAGACGTTTAGTGAGTTCTTGTAAAATTTTCTGTTGATGAATAAACTCATCATGATCATAAACAGCATAACAAGGACATTTTAGCAGAAATTATATACCAGCTCAGAACTGATTGTTTATAAAGATTCAAAATACTGCGAAATGTTCCTTAAGGCATGCGATTTGAACGGTTGTAAGAAAGTATCGAAAACGAAGCACTTTCATTAATGAAATAACAGTTGGGATATTAAATGAGTTACGTTACAGTACGCGACTGAAGTACGCTCGCACGATGATCGAAAGACTTCTGTCGCAGTCAACCAACGCTCGACCCGGATCACTTTCCACTGCCGACGCTCGAATCGCTCCAAAAGCCAGTCTACAATCAAATGTTCAACTCCCAGTAAATGCTCCTCGTTAAATGAGTGTATTCCCCTTATTATCATCACCTTCATTATGATCGTTATTGTCGCGCATCTCAATTTTACACAGCACTTTCATCTTTCGATGGAAATAACTCTTGAAGAAGATTTCATCATCTATGAAAATATTCCACTGCCAATCGGAACTCGCTATTGATTCAGTTGGTTTAACTGAAATTGGAGTGACATTCAATAAGTTCGTTACAAATATGAAATATCAGTGAATGTAATTTGAAGGGCTCAGGCGTTCCTGGCCTAAGTGCAGATTAACATTTAATAGTGTTTGAGAGGAACATTTAAGAGATAAGTGTAATATTTGAGTGAATGTCGTGCCAATTTTACGAATTTCAACTAGAAATGCAGTTGCTCATACTTCAGATACAACGATTATTTTCGTCAATTATTCAATTCAAAGCAATTTTCGTTTCTTCCTTGTTGCTTCTCATGTTGTTCTTTTGTGCATTTCAAAAGATTTTTCAATACATGAATGTGCTTCTCGTCAAATCATAATCCTCTGTTCGATTGTTAAATCTGATAGAGCATGCTAGCTCTTCGAACAGATTATCACTGGAGTATATTGTGTTTGTCGAGAAAGCTGAAAATGCCTCGTTGAGAAGATATTTCACTCTGCCTTTTCGAAGTCTTGCCTTCTACATTATATATGTATATGTGCGTGTGTTTATCTGTGCTGGTAATCCCTATTCCAGTTGTTTTCATCATTCCATTGATCATTTACTGCATTTTCACTGTCACTGATTAGTGCATCATTCATTTACTGTTTACTGGATATCCATATGATGACTGCCTCTTGTATTGTTTTGTCCTTTAAGTGTTACTTATCGTTAGATATGGTTTTAATTTTTTGCATACAGTTAGGAAGTTGTTTTTTTCGTTCATGTTCGACCAGTTATTCGATGTATTTTGAATTTAAAGCATTTATGTTCACTTTTGAATGTTTCATCGTGTTGATGCTTTTGGTTTGAATGTTTCAAAATGAATATTGAAGAAAGCTTATGAAGCATCCGAATAATCATTTCCGCAAGTCGAAATTTTCATACGTCCGCACAAGGTTCTTTATCGTGTCAATTAATCCCTCAAAAGATTTTATCTGCGGTGACAAAAAGCGATGTGTCATATCGAAGAGGGATGGCGATATTTGAATAAGTTTTTTATTGTGCGTAATGGTTCGGTAATAAGTTTTATTGTGCGTAAAGGTTAATTGGTTTTGTTACGCGCGGCATCTTAAATTGTTTCGTGATTGTCACAGCAGTTCTGTTATCTGAATTGTATATTTCGACAATGAAGTTTTTAGCGTAAGTATTATTTATTCTTGTGGTGATGTTCATATTTGCTTCTCTCCATAATGATTAAACTTTTCATTACGATTCCCGATTGATGTGTGATACTTAAGTGAGTAGGAACTTATAAGCTGCATCGGTTACATTATCAATAAAAATGATTAAGTTTTCTGTGGAAATCTTTGAAAATTTCCGAATTCTAGTGGTAGTTAGCATGGCGTTATCTGTAATCTCTAAAAAATTGGGTCTTGGTTCATATCCGCTGCTTCCCATGTAACTATCGAACTGCTGAAAATGATTCTCAGACTGGTGCTTTGAGAATCGCACATCTATCTTTTTGAGTAATGATCCGGGATCAATTAGAATTTCAAGAAAGAAATTGGTAAAGACGGGTTGACTTAGTGTGCTTTCATTCAGCAAGCAACCGTGAATCAGACCCTAATGGATTTTCATAAGCACTGGATTCTGAAAGACGTTAACCGCCCAGCCTCCTATTGAATTGCCAGTTGCTCCTCTGGCCATCCAACTGTAGTGTTGGCGAAATGCCCCGTCCTCTCAAATTCATTTGAATCTCTCAGAGTTGCAGTTTCATTTTATTAGTCATTGGTTGAGTTAACCTTACTTTTACTATTGCAGTTAAGTTTGAGTTATAGTTTGGGGTAAACTGTAATTTTTCAGAATTTGTCTATTCAATTCCCCATCTATCTATCCAGAATCGCTTTAATGAAGCGAGCAAGAGAAGAAGATAGTGAAGAGAAGGAGCAGGTGAAGGACGAAAATGTAAAGAAGGTGAAGTTGAGTAAAGAGGAAACTCAATCATCCGAAGGCCACTCTCATAGGTTAGGCGCCGTTTGTTTTCAGTATTTTATGCTTGATGAAGTGTTCACTACTATGAAGGTCGGTAAAAGGAGGGTTATCTGCTTGAAAAATATTCGTACGAATTCTATGCAAAAGGAAGGAAGTTGAGCAACTTTTCTGCAAAAAGTTGAGCAAAAACAAAAAAAAGTTGAGCAACTTCTCTGCATTTTTATGTGATCATCATGTTCATGCTTATGGTCATATTCATTTCAATCTTTGAATTGAATTTGATGGATAGTTGACTTATTTTCAGTGAGGATAACAGTAGCAGTGGCGATGAGAGCAGTGATGAAAGTACCGAAATCGAGTTAATGGTCAAGACTCGTGAACGTCGTTCGAATGCTGGCAACAAGATGGCTCAGTTGATGGATGACACAGAGCAAGAGGATGAATTCTACAAGAATACATACGGTGGCAACTTTCTTGAGGTAATCGCGTGTTCATTTTGGATGATTTGCTCGGGCATTTGACATTTCACTGAATTTTAATTATACCTTATCGCGAACTGATTACCACTTTTAAATGCTCATCTCGTTTCTCCTATTTTCATATTATGACACCTAAAAGACTTGGCTGTTAGTGCTGGCAGGATCATTCATATGCAACACTAAATAACGACGACAATTGTGTTAATGATATATTTGTTATATCGGTTGATTCAGATCTACAGTTATGTGTTTTTTCGAATGATATGGTGCTTTTTTAAATGACTGGAAATTTGGCAGAAAATTTTCAAGTATGACTATTGAGTATTTAGGACGATGCAGATGATGCATATGAATCACCGGTAGAATCTGACCATGATGAAGTGGATTCGGATTTCGATCGATCGGAACAGGAAGAGGAGACGATTAGTGATGCAGAAGATGGCGAGAAACGGAAACGGCGAAATGTTTATAAGGTGAAGAGTGACATAATCTTGGTATCATTTGTGCATTTCATGTTGTGAAGATTTTTGATATTGTGATACCGCGCTGATTTATGAATTTATGCTCGTGGAGAGCTGTTCAATGAATTAGTGTGTTTTGTCAAATCGTAAGTGTTTGTATTCGTTGATTTTTTGGTGATTCATAGCTTGATTGCAAAGTGGTTAGTTGGGTTCGTCTCGAACTGTTTTCATTTACACATCGCCAAATTCGAGGAACCACAATTGGGAGGTGACAAGAAGAAGCGAAAATCGTTGCTTGAAAAGAATCGGAAATGGGTAGTGGCCAGAATGGGTGGACCAACGGTGGCTGCGAATACAGTCAGTCCCGAGACACAGGTATTCTGTATGATCGTTTTCAGTTGTTCGTCTAATGTTATTTGATGAGTATCCGATTCGGATCTGAGCTATGTGTTTGTACAGTGATTGCATATACAATAAGTAAATCATAGGATTTGCTTTCACAGTTGACTAAACTGTAGAAATGGCATCACATAACTTGATTTGTTGGTGTGCCTTATTCTGTGTTGGCTGCAACTTTCGTTTATTTTGAAGGCAGAACGACTGGAGGAAGCTCGAGAAACGGAGCGTATGAATTTGGCATCGCTGCAGAAGTACGAACAATTTGAATTGGAGCGTAAAAAGAAAAGCGAAAAAATAAATGCAGCACGCAAATTGAAACCGCCCTATATCAGTCATGTGGACGGGCCGAATGGTAAATGGATTGTTGTGCCTGAAGTGAAGAAATTTGTTAAACCTGAACGAAAGGTGAGATGGTTGGATGTGATTGTACACTGTTGCTTTCAGAGAATGGAAACATAAACGTGCCTTCTCGTTTCTCTGCAATATTTCGCATTAGATGTTATTGAGATGGTGCTGTCAATATGACCTCGTTGAATGTAGTTTCGATTGATGTGATTTGCAAGTGGACATTGCAGATGCGAGTATTATGCAGTGTTACATCGCGACCAGCCAAATATCGTGATCCTCTCACCGGTTTGCCATACGCCACAGTGGCCGCGTTCAAGTTGATTCGACAGAAGTATATCGAGCATTTGCGAACGATTAAGAATAATTCAGCTGTTACGACTTGGCTCAGTGAACATTCCTAATTACTTTACGGTGGTTGACTGAATGAGCTGGCAAGGGATGGTCATGAATTGATCGCTGCAATAGATCTACATTCTCACTTTCAAATCAATAAGAAATCAATCACGCGAGTGCAAAACAAAAAATCTGCAATCTCGCAAAATGCTTCTTTTTTGCTACTCACTGCAATGCTTCTTCGGAAAATGCTTTAATCTCGGGTTTGATTTGCTTACCAATCCTCTCCAGTTGTTTCACCATTCCCGAATAAGAGTTATTGTTTTGTTTTGACTGTCTATCTGTGCAAAACTGTTGAGTTGTTTTATTTTATTTACTCATTACTTTCCATTAATATGTGGCTGATTCGTTGGCTGGATCAAAATGAAATGACGACTACTGACTGTGCTGTATGGCGGAATTAACGTCGAGATAAACTGATGTATATATTAGTCGAATATAAAGCTTCAAACGGATCTCAGTCTCCGCTCCAGGAAAATATTGACTGAAAATGGAACTAAAGAAAGCGAAAAATAAACCGACTTTTAAACGACGTTTTATCCACAATAATATTACAACAGCAACAACAACGATACCGAAACGAAACGAGTGAATATCTGTCAGAAAATGTATTCTTCAAAAAATGGATGATTAGTCACACAATGAAACTGATTCAACGAATAGTAAACGTAAGAAACAAGGAACGTGAACAGACAAATATGAAACAAGATGAAATAGAGAGTGGTCGAGAAACTCAGTGAAAAGAATAAATACAGTCGCATAAATGGATCGATCGACGTTCAGATTACTGACTCAGAATGAATTATCAACATTAGTTGCGCAACAATGAAATAAAGTAGAAAGCAACGTAATGTCTTTCAAATACGTCAAATTTGTGCGCCGAAAAACATTCTTTTTGTTCAGATATCTAGTGGTAAATAATGATTGTTTTATGGAAACGCCGTTGTGCAACTTCGTTCCTTGTTGTCCATTTGTGCAACATATATATGAAAAGTAATGTGATGATGAGTAACAATCAAAATTTGAAATCCTTATACTTCTTCGGTTGTTGTTGTTGACTGACTTTCTTCTGCTCTTGTGCTTTACGTTTACGCTGAAAACAAACACAAAAGAATAAGAATTGAGATTGTGAGAGGAAGCAGTGTGAAGTGGAGAAATGATCTGCACCGGTCAGCAATATCAACTGTGCATAATCAAATTCCTTCGAATCTCAGCGAACACACGAACTCGAATGCAGTCATCGAATTTGCGACGTTAACATCAACACATTCGATTCAGCAGCGGAAGTAAACGTGCTAAGTGAACGAAGAGGAAAGAGGATACATTTTGTTTAGCCGAGTGCTCTGCAACCATATCCGAGAAGTCTTCGTCGTCATCCATCCGTCCTTTGGTCTGCTTTCTCAACTGCTCTTCATATTTCTTCTCCAATCCCTTCTGGTCGGCCAAATCCAAATCCTCTGGATTCAGTGATACCTCTACACCGCCCGTTTCGCCAGCTCCTCCACCACCTTGTGCAGCTGGTGCTGGTACGGCTTTCTTCTACAAAATTTATTATATGAGCACTGAAAACAAAACACTACCATAAATAAATCAGTCACAAACACTTAAGCGAAATTGACAATACTGCTAGTAGTATACGCACAAAGTCAGTTCCGTAGATGAACGCACAGGTGTATAGGGATGTGTTTTGTGGGGAATAGGACAATCTGCATCAAAGAACTTGAACAGCTAACCGATATATCGTAAACGTGCGTACTGGCCAACATCTGGCCAGCGATACGATCCACTTTTCGTTCTTGTAGTACCGTGTAGAGTTGCGGTGCTGGTGTGTCCCCGCCAGCAATACTGAAATATGTGCACATATCTATCAGTTCTTCAAGCGACTACCTTCTACCAATAAACAAACTCATTCGGAAACAATCCAACAGCTAACTCACCTCTCTTCCACCCGTTTACCCTTCCTCAATTCAATCGTATCCGGCGTCTCCACTCCTGTTGGTACTCCAGACGTAATTCCGGATGGTGTCGTGAATCTGAATATCATATGCACTTCATCTAACCGACCAATACAATGAACAAGTTAACTTTGATTTCATCAGCAAAATCATAACAGCGAATTCATTCCTGTTGATCTCTCTTTGCTTACGCCAACAATTTCCCTCAGTTCAGCGTCCGTCCATAAATACGGGATAAGAATAACTTTTAACTGACCCTTCAGTAGTGGCTGGTGTAATGAAACCAGTCTCAGTAGCGGTACCATCTGCCAAATCCTCTTCGTCCTCGTCACTTTCATCACTCGAATCCTCATCACTTCCAATTTCACCCCAATGGCGACGTTCGATTCGTGATTCATCATCCATCTCTGGCATTGACGGTGCCTGAAGTAAATATGAAATGATGGATGGCATCGTGGACGAAATCGTTAACAATAGAATAGGTCATACAACAACAACAGTTGGTCGTTGAATAAATCTACTAACCTCAATGCCGAAAACATCACCGTACAACGGTTTACCATGTTCATCAACCGGTGGTTTACCCCAACCACCAGCATGATACCCAAACGCACATCCTTCTGGTATTGGACAGTTCAATCCTGGAACTTTCAGATTCGGATACGACGGTGGCGGTCCGTAACGTTGCATTGCAATCAGCCACGGCGGTGGAAATTTGCTGGCATTCTAAAAATGTTTAATGTTTCTTCACAATGCGATGCAGTCTTATCAGTTGAGAATATTGCAGGTTCACTACGTATCAATTTTCAACTCTAAGGTAAGCGAAGTTTTTTCTCGATCGTCTACTCAGACCACGATTCCTCCTCGGCATCCAGCTCAGACTGCTCTCAAAATTTTTGAAAAACTGTTCCACCGAGAGCAGAAAGTTCTGATCATGTACTGAACGAGCCAGAATGTGAATGAATGATTGAAAGAATACCGGTCCAATCGGCATTCCGAGTGCAATTCGAAGTTCATCACTCAAATTCCCCGGTTTCTTCTCTTTCATAATCGTCTCCAACTCTTTACCCTCATAATACAATTCACCCATTTGGGTCATTGTTGGTTTCACTTGCCATTTGAAGAATGCGTCGTGTAGCTTTTGATAATCAATATCGATACGCCCCAGTTTCGGTCTGGCACGTTCGCGCATTTTTGCTTTCAGCGATTGCGCGTCTTCCTTAAATCATAACCATTCTTCTGTTCATCAGACCAGTTGTGATAAGCGCGTTTTAAAGGCACTGCAGAAATTGTTCGACTGCTTGATCAAGTCAAGCAACAGCTATTCATTAGAACGAGTTGAATTTTTTGTTTACATGCGCATCTATATATGCATGGTGAATGAATATTTAGCAGCTATTGGAGATATAAGACAACTGATGGAACGCTAAGACCTTTTCCCACATAGTTTCCCGCATTTCCATAATACCGGTACGTTTAATAAAATCAGGCAGATCGAATGGCGGTCTTTCGAAACCTCGTTTACCAGCTAAATATTTGCGCTTTGCATTCCAGTGACGAGGAACTGGCACTGTATTGCGGTAAGCTTTCAGTGAGACGAGCAAGTGCGGATCTCTTGAGGTCACATCAGCCCATTCCACAACGTCCGGACGACCCGTTGACTACAAACATTTGCTATCCTTGAACCGGTACATTCTCACTAGGAATGTTACTATTGTATTTTTTGGTTACGAAACGTGGATCAATCGTATCTTTCGAAAACTTATGCAAATAATTTTAAAAATGATGAAAATTGCATCAGATTCCATTTGAACTGTTTCATTTCGGTTATGTTAAGTGTATTGTCTTAAGAAGTGTATCGGAACAGTTCGATCGTTTAGCTAAAGTTGATTCGAACAGATAATGCAGCACCTCCTTAAGCTCAGTTATTGATGGCTGCATTGCAATGCGTAACTTTCTACGACTCAGTTTTTGCGTTTCACCAGCTTCCTCTTGCTGACGACGTTTCTCGCTCATCTCTTCTTGCAAAATCTTCTCCGAAATTGACGCCTTCGTTGGCTCTTCTTCTTTCTTCACTTCAAATGCACCCAATTGGGTGGTTGTCGTTTCAGTTTTCTTCTCTTCTTCAGCTATCTGAATGCACAACACTTACTTTGTTACAGCAGGGAAACAGTAAGGGAAAATTATGGTTGAAGTAATTCGAAGCACGCACTTTGAAATTCTCGAAGATTTTTGCAAAGTACTGAAAATTCGGATCATTGGGATCCACTTCTGGCATTTCACCCACATATTCGACGTCTACAGTAATATCGTCGTTGTCGGTATCCGGCTCTGAAACAAACAAAACTGATAAGAGATCACACAAAAATTTGATGCTCAGAGCTGATAAACTTTAGAGGCATAAGAAATGCGCTATTTCTCACGAGATTCTACACCGTTTTGAGGAGCGGACAGCTCGGCCTTGTCTTTTCGTTTCTTTTTGGATTCTTTCTTCTTTTTGTTTCGATTCTTCCGTCGTTCCAATTCCTGAAATTGCAAAATTTGCCGGAGAGCAATGTTCAATCTATAGATTCAAAACTATGATGAACATTATTGGAAAATTCACGCGCATTTGATGAATAAGTCAATGACTACTCTCAGATTACCTTAATTTCCTTCTTGCTCAGATGTTCGGTTGATTCAACAACCGCATCTTCAGTCTCAGCCACAGTTTCATCGTCACGTTCCAATTGAACCATTTCAAGAGTTTTCTCTGAAATCAACCGAATCTAGGATACAGTTAAATGCGAATCGTGCATACTCATCAACCTCATCGGCTAATGCTCACAGCAGTTTTAAAGGGACTATAAGGTTTGCTCCGAGAAGCAGAGGCTCATCCTGGCTTCTCGTAATCCCCCCTTTCATGAACACTTTAACTGAAACAGAAAGTTACTCTCAAAAACAACTTCACAGCAGCTTATTACTCGAATTTAGATCTGCGCAGACGTTCAATGAAAGATTGAAAGGTGGAAACTCTCACTGAACCATCAAAAAACACAAAAAACGCCTCATCTCCGAAGTAACCACCCGAACGTCAAAAATCATCTTTCGAAGTAAATTGGTTTCAGTCAAAACGAATGCTTGGCGAAATGTCTGTGGCCAGGTCATTTCGCCAACATTTCTATCACATTTTAATACAGGTGAAATTAATTGTTAGACGCGAGTATTTGATGAAAGCGATGCAGAATTCGAGATACATCCATCGGATAGCTGACATATGGAGATTTATCGCAAAATCCAATCAACTTACAAAAAAAAGATTCACAATCTTCAAGTACACCTAAGATGGTATCATATCCTTAACGTGTTCATCAATACCAGACGGCATTCGGGTTTTCGACGATTCATTTCAAAAAAAAGCACAAGATTAACGTGACGCATATGTGAATGCAGCAAGATGATATCATTAGACCTATGTATACATTCTTTTTACGTATTTCACCTGTCTAATTGAATATATTTCGAAATGTGACACTTCAGCAACATTCCGACGACATATTTCAAATGATTCCAAATTTTTGGACCACTTTATTCCAATGAGAAAGGCACTTATTCTCTGTTCGAGGAACGCATGAGTGAATATAAAACAAGAGCACAGAATTTTCCTGGAAGTAATACCATTTCGGCTGTCTTGTTCCACTCTCTTCAATATGCAGCCAAAATAGTGATTCGACTACAATGAATATGAGTTACCGTAATGAATATGAGTTACCGCTCTCGCAAAATACAGCTTTCAGATAAATTGATGGTCTTTTTCGGAGATCACTTAAGATTTAGCATTTGCCATCCATCCATCACTGATCATTTCCGATTCTCCAATACGGCATTGGGTTGCCGATTATGTCATTGTGACAAAGTTTAGCAAGCATCAGAAAAAGGTATTTGATTCCTTCAGGGTTGATTTATTCATTTTGTAATATTTCAGTTTCAGAGCTGAAGATACGACTGCAATAGTTCAACACGAATATTTACTCTTCAGTTGTGTAAGCTTATTTCCTCATAAAGCGGTGATTGTTCGTCAGCATCTCTCAACTTATCATTCTACAACTTCTTATCCCAGCACATTTATTCATTAACCACAAAAAAACCGTCACCGTTTTTATCTCAGTTATTGGCATTTTATTGCAATCGCTGATCGAGCACTCTCTCGAAGTTGACTTCAGTGAACAGGAATAAACGAATAAAGAAACGAACGAGCTCAATTGATCGAATAAGTTCACTACGATAAACTTTCATGAAATTGATTTTATTCGGCAACACGCAATGGCGTTTCTTATTTATCATGTAATTTGCTTTTAAAAGTGCGATGTTATTAGTTTGTTATGCAATTTCAGGAATGATTACGCAACATTATGATGTCGTTGTCCTTTGGTTCGTTCACATATCAGTGTTGAGAAAGGAAACCCGTTCTGTTCTGTTCACTTAATGTGGACTGCGATGAATATTTTCTGAACGATTTATTTGGAATTTTATTTGAATATAATGCGATCGAATGATTATTCATTTTGTTTGACGATCTTCTAAGAGCAATTAATTCGATTTGATTACATTTCATGATATATTTGTTGTTTCGATTGTGCAAAAGGGAATGTGCTCAACTAACAGCTCATTCTTATAGTCATCGACCTTCTTTATTCTCAGTGCAGTCTTCATCTCGATTCGTATCCTATAAGTGTCCAAGTGCACGTCTGTCTGATTATGGTTTCTGTAATTAGCGTGAATGAAGCATGCTCACGAAAAGGTGTATTGAATAACGTTACTTCTATTGGTGTGTGGTATTTCTGTTAATCATCATCATTATTATCGCATCGTCACGGTTATTTTTGCTAAACGGTGTAACATTTAACGAAAATTGCACTATTTGATCTTTTTTTGGTGATTTCACTTGTAACAGTGCTTAGTGAATCATATGGCGATGATTAATGCAGAGTGCGACTCTTCCAGAACAAGCCGAAACTCAAACGTTAGTTGCATCAGCTAAATTTTTTGCAAAACAGTCGCTAGCCGCCGTTGTTGTTCGTTTGGCTTATGTGTGCATTTTCTAGGCCGAGACTATCGTTTGATTAAGAACAGTGAGTTGGGTAGTGGCAATGAAAAAGAAAACAACGTGATATTGCCATGAACTTTTGATTTTGCTCCTTCAAAATGAAGTTTATCGAAACAAACGAAGTTCACGGTTTTTAATGCCTCTATAAGGATAATGATTAGTTGCTTAACCGACTCTATGCGAACAGCTGATGATGGATGGATGATGATGCATCAACCAATTCAAGCGAATCGCGGCTCGCAGAGAACTTTTCACATTTACGTGGGTCCTGGATTATCTGTTCACCTTAGTGATGTTTTATGCATGCACCTCGATTATTTGAATGCTTGAGTAACGTCGTTAAGCCGTTTTTCGTATTGTTTTACCGTTTAACGTGCTCGTTTCGTATTGTGATGCTACTGAATCGCTCGATGACTAATTGTAAATAGCATAGCGAACTGTGATCATCATCATCATTAGTCGACTGACTTTATTCGGCGCCTGTACCATCGCGTGTCTGGCACGAAAACTGGCTTAGAAGTTGGGGGAGGATTGCGCGAAACCTTTGTGGAGAGGTGCAATTGTTGTTGACTTGAAGAAGCAGAAAGTGCAAAGAAAGAAGACGATCGGAATGAATTCGTCAGAAATGAATTCGTTCATTCTTCATTGAATCATTTGCACTATTCGTCATCTCCTTTATCTGATCACTCCTCTCATTCATTTATTTGCCAAGGCGACAATGAATAATCATTTCTTTGACTCATCGCTCACCACATACATCAACTTCCGAATACCGATGAAAATATCTCACAAGAAAAGATGACACTACCGACGAACAACAAACAAACCATCAAAGCAAAAAACAACATTCCAAACATTTTCGAAAAATGAAAATGAATCAATTCATTTAACTCATCACTGTGCACAGTCAATATCCTCATCATTATTATTTTTATGGATTTGATGATTCATTTTTGATCGGTCGGATAAAGTTTGATCAACTACATTCTCATGCATAGAAACATTTAATATCTTTCAAATTTTGACATGCCGTCAAAATGCTTATGAAACATTTAATACAATTATCACTAGTATGCTTACGATTTTGACATGTCAATTGCTAACAACAAGAGGGTGCAATCAAACAATGAGCTAAATAAATGTGTCAGTTGGAAGGTAAAATTGAAGAGGGCAACAATCAAATGCAATTTTAAATGAGTGAGTGCAACTTTCTAGTCAATTATCATTAGTATGCTATGAGGTCAGTAGTTCAGTCGTGGTCATAATCAGAGATGTCAGTTCAACAAGATATGAATTGAAGTCCGAGTGGACGCAAACTATCTCTTGATAGACGAAATGCTTTGGTCATAATAGCTATTCTGTGTTGTGCGTATTTCGGTCGCGAATCGCAAGAACATCTGGATACGCTTCTTGGGAAGCGAGTATTTGTTAGGTGAAGTTCATGGTCTTTAACTTCAAACAAACACTTATTTTTCAGAAGAATATATCGTCCGTATGTAACTCACTCACATGAAACCATTCTAAACGATCAGCTTACCCTAACAATGAGCTAGTCGAATTCTGCTTCTTTTCACAAGGACGGAATCCAATTTAGTTCTCAAAAAATCCTTGAACTACGGAAACACCGTCAAAATTGGAGAAAAGTTCTTTTTCTATCTCAAAATATGGGCAACTTCAATCATACGTATCGTTCTTCATCATTATATGATCACTTTATGCGATCAGTTCCCATCGTTTCACTGTGCTCAGGTTGATCAACATTTGACATCAACGTGCGCGCATTTTTCATTCAAAACCATCGCAGTTTTCGTACTGGTTCATTTTCCTCAGCAGTCGTTTCGTTTGTTGGTCTGGTTTTGACGTGGTTCATTTGTTGTTTCGTGTTAGTTCATTCAGAGTTTTCGAACGTTTCGTTTCCATATCTTTAAGTTGAAAATGATTCACATGTGGTTGATGTTGTATGTTTTGAATGTGGACCGACACTCCTAGAGAAGTTAAACCCACGATCAGGTAAACAAATTATTGAAGGTTCAATCTTGTTCAAAACAATTTTACACTTTTTCAAGCGGATTTTTGCATTGCGACGAAGAATGGTTTGCCTAAAAATGCCACAGTTAAGAAAAGAGTATACTGAAGATGATGTATTATGTAATTTCCATGCTCTTTTTGCTCGTCAAATATGGATCAAGTGTTGAAAAATATTCTCTAAACATCATCACCTTTTGTAATGATAATCTTTTGTATTTCTGTACTCATACGCCTACTTTTAGCGGGATATCAGACACTTGCATGAATCATTGCAAAAAATATGAATGATGTTTGATGTGCCATTAGAATGAGGTGCTTGCGATTTCGATATAGATAGCATGATTACTGTTATTACTATTATTAGTAAACATAAGTAGTGAGTTATTGGATGCATGGTCTGATCACAATCCAGCTGTGATATTTCGAAACAGAGATATGTTTGTTCAGTTGAAATGTTTATGTGTATTTGCATATGTTACTGTGAACTTTAAATGTAGATCTATGAAGACGACTGTAATCGTTATGCAGTTTTAGCCAACGTTACCACTGTTGTATCATGCCAGATTTGTCTTGGAAATATTGTTGGCTTCGCGCATATCGAGTACATGAATCACATTCATTTAA